CACAGTATGGGCCCGACCACAAGAAACCATCAACAAGAAGCCCTACCCTGAGACCCCAGGACGTCCATCGATCTTTGGTACAGGCACGTCACGCTCTCCATGGCAAAACCATCGAAACCCAAGAAACCCAGGGCACCCTGGAGCCCAGAGGGCCCCGGAAACGGCAGGGCCGTTTTTTCACCGTTTCCGAAAACATGTCCCTTGAAAATGAAAACGGCAACAACAACGGCGACCAGAAACGGCAACAAAAACGACTCCAGCATTGGAACCGGAGCGGGTCCCGTAAAAGAACTGCGACGGAACCGGTAAGAAAACGGCGTCGGAACCGGCAACAAAAACAGCAAAACGGAACCGGTAAAAAAACCGGCCCTGTCGTTTCCAGGGCCTACTGAGCCCTGGAGGCAAGCAGGGCGTCTCTTGGCATCCCTGACCTTCCAGGAGGGCAAAAAATAACACCCGACTTAAAAACCTATCCCAAAGCTATTCTACGTCTTGGCTTTAGGCTGTTTCGCTCAGCTTTTCAGGTTTTTAGGTCTCCAGTGCTAACAAATAGCTCTCTGGAAGGTCAGGGATGGGCCCCCGCTGCACCCTCCACCGCCCTCCCCGGGTCTGCCGCCTCACACCCCGGCCTGACCGCTCCAGCCTCCCCAGACCCCCGACGTAGTGATTTTTCCATTACGTCGACCTCCAGTGGTCCCGACCCTTTCCCCATGACCGGCTTTGCATCCTGAATCGTTTTTTGACGCTCCCGAGGCCCGGTGAGGGCCCCCAGAGGCCGAAAAGTAAGAAAAAACTCCCGTCATGATTTTTTCATTACTCGAGGGGGTCTGGGTCCGGTGCTCGCACGCCCTCGGCCTGCCCCGCCACCCCCCTGGGCTTGCCCGGCTGCGGGGGCCCTCCTGTGCCCAGCCTGTCGCGGTCTCTGGACGATCCTCCGGGAGCCCATCGGCGTCGATCCCGCGCCGCTTGCCTCGCTGGCGGTCCTGGCTCGCCTCCAGCCCCGACCCTGGACCTGCTGGGCGGCGGGACGGCGCGTTGCCTGCCCGTCGCTTGCAGTCCTCCCCGGCCCCCAGACGGCTCTCGCCTCTCGTGGCGGCCGGGTCTTCGTTCGCATGCCCGCCCCGCACGATCCGCCGGCAGCTTCTCGCCGCCGATCGCCGCCTTCGGTGGCTCCTCCCTGGGGTCAGCTCAGCCTCGGCCCCCTTCGGCCCGCTGCTCACCTCGGGCGGTGCCCGTGCGCCCGGCGCTCGCGCCTCCCTGGGCCTCTCGGCCTCACTCCTTCGCGGCCCGCCGCGCTGCTCCGGCCCTTTGGCCGCCGCTCCCGGTCTGCCGATCGGGCCTCGCCCACGTGGCCCTCTCCCCTCGCTCCGCTCCCCTTCGCCACCCTTCTTTCCAGCAGGGACCGACCGTCCTGGCATTCCTAGTCCTACCACGAAATCTTCTTAGAACCCGAATATGTCCGAAGGACAAAAACTATCCCAGAGCGGCCCTACCTATGTCATGTTAGGTATGTTGTTGCTTTGCCAGAACGGCCCTGCTGCTGATGTTGCGTGGCATTGTTTGATGTTATGATATGCGATGCTATGATGCGTTATGCTATGATGGGCTATGGTATGCTATGATACGCTATGATATGACATGCTGCGCTATGCTATGATATACTATGCTATGGTATGCTAGGGTATGCTGCATTGCGCTATGCTATGCTAGGCGATTATATGCTATGATAGGTTGCGCTATGATGTGATATGATATGAGTTGATGCGTCATGCTATGATACGATATGTTGCGGTATGTTGTGCTAGGCTAGGCTATGATATGATATGCTGCGCTATGCTGGGTTATGATATGCCTGGCTATGCTATGCTATTGTTGTGCAATGCTATGCTATGAAATGTGATGATGCGACGTGAAATGATATGCTATGCTATGTTGTGCTATGCTATGTTGCGGGATGCCATGCTATGCTATGCTATGCTATAATATGATGTGTTGTGTTGCGCTGTGATATGCAAAGCTAAGCTAAGTTATGATATGATATGCTATGGTGCGCTATGATAAGATATGCTATGCTATGATCTGCCTCGCTATGATATACGATGCTATGATATGATATGTTATGTTCATGCCGCGCTGCGCTAAGTTAGGAGAAGCTGAGCTAAGCTAGGTTAGCCTAAGCTAAGTTAAGATAAGCTAAGCTAGGCTAAGCTTAGTTAAGCTAAATTAAGCTAAGTTAAGCTAAGATGAAATAGGCAAAACTAAGGGGGCGCAGCTGGGGGAACCGCGGGGCGGATACTGGGGGAACCGCCCGGGGCGAGGAACACTGCCCAGCCCTTCTAAGCCCAGCGAGTAAGAACCCTTTATGCTGAGCCTAGGTAGGGGACAAACAATGAGATAAGCAACGCTAAGCTAAGGGGACGTAGCTGGGGGAACCGCGGGGCGGATACTGGGGGAACCGCCCGGGGCGCTTTCCACTGCCCAGCCCCTTTAAAGCCCAGAGAGTAAGAACCCTTTCTAGGCAGAGCCTAGGCAGGGAATCGTGTTCTTAGAACATAAACCCAATGTGTTCAAACAAGACAGACTCCGCCAGAAATGTTCTAAGACCATGTCGTGGAAACCACAACAAAGAACGTTGTTTGGTAGGGCTATAGGCGAGCTGGGACGCTTCGCCACTGCTTGACGCTTCCCAGCCCGCTGGTCTCTCCAGCGCCCCGCGGCTCCTCCGGCTCTGGCCGCCCGCCTCTGGCTCGCGCTGCCGCGAGGCTCCCTGCCCGCCGCCCAACTCTGGCGTGGCCCCCGGCGGCGCTGCCGCGCGCCGCTCTTCTCTTCGCCCGCCGCCCCAGCCAGCGTGGCGCCGCCCTGCTGCTGCCCCGCCCCGACTCCGCCGCCTGCGAGCCCCTGCTGCTGAGGTCGCCGGCTCGTCGGCGTTGGGCAGTTCGGCTCGTGCGCGGCCCGCTCGTACCCTACTCGCCGCTGGCGCTCTCTGGCCATCGCTCGGACGTCCGTTCCCTGTGTTTTTGTTTCGGTTTCGTGCGTGTTTTTTTCCGCCAAATGATCAGGGATGCTCCTCGATGGTCCTCGCCGAAGGAAAAATGCACACGCCCGAGCGATGCCAACCTCCCGCCCACGGTCGCGACAAGAAAGCCCGCGAGCCCCCTGTCCGCCCGCTGCCCCGCCCGCCCCCCCGCGGCCGCGGCCCGCGGCCTGCCCTGCCGCCCCCCCCCAGCCAACGCCCAGTGAGGGGGTAGCGGGCCGTGCGATGCTGCGCGCGCGCGCGGGGCTCTGGCCGTGCGGGCGCCCGGGCGCGCACTGGCGAGCCGCCGCGTCGCCGCGCCGCTACGAACAGAGAGTGTCTGTGTGTGTGTATCTGTCTGGGTCTGGGTGCGTGTGTCTCTGTGTGTGTGTGTCTCTGTGTGTGTGTGTCTCTCTCTCTCTCTCTGTGTGTGTGCCTGTGCCTGTGCCTGTGCCTGTGCCTGTGCCTGTGCCTGTGCCTGTGCCTGTGCCTGTGCCTGTGCCTGTGTCTGTGTCTGTGTCTGTGTCTGTGTCTGTGTCTGTGTCTGTGTCTGTGTCTGTGTCTGTGTCTGTGTCTGTGTCTGTGTCTGTGTCTGTGTCTGTGTCTGTGTCTGTGTCTGTGTGTGTGGTGTGGGTGTGGGTGTGGGTGTGGGTGTGGTGTGTGGTGTGGGTGGGTGTGTGGGTGTGGGTGTGGGTGTGGGTGTGTGGTGTGGGTGTGGGTGTGGGTGTGGGTGTGGGTGTGGGTGTGGGTGTGGGTGTGGGTGTGGGTGTGGGTGTGGGTGTGGGTGTGGGTGTGGGTGTGGGTGTGGGTGTGGGTGTGGGTGTGGGTGTGGGTGTGGGTGTGGGTGTGGGTGTGGGTGTGGGTGTGGGTGTGGGTGTGGGTGTGGGTGTGGGTGTGGGTGTGGGTGTGGGTATGGGTGTGTGTGTGTGTGTGTGTGTGTGTCTGTGTCTGTGTCTGTGTCTGTGTCTGTGTCTGTGTCTGTGTCTGTGTCTGTGTCTGTGTGCGTGTGCGGAAGAGAGATGGAGAGAGAGCGGACAATACTACGTAACAGGCTGTGTTCTGGAAGGGGAGGGAGGGGGTCGCACAAACACAAGGCAGCATCAGGAGAGGGACAACACTATGACTTTGTTTGGAGGGTTGTAGAACTGCGGAGGGAGAGACGGGCAGGGGGAAGGAGCGAGGAGGAGAGGGCGGAGGAGGGGGAGGTTCCCCATCTCCTCCCTCCCCCACTTCCCTCCTCCCTCCTCCTGCTCCTCTTGCTCCTCCTGCTCATCCTCCTCCTCTTCCTCCTCCTCCTCATCCTTTTCCTCCCTCCTATCTCCCCACATCCCTCCTCCCTCCCCCTGTCCCCCCCGGGGGGGTGGGTGGGGAAAGCGGGGAAGTAAGGGCGTGAGGAAGGAGAGGAGGTGGCGTGGACAGCAAGAGGCGAGGAGGGAGGCAGTGACGCGAGTGAGAGAAGGGAGCGAAGCGAGGGGGAGAAACGATGCGCGGGCAAGCCTTCCCCAGGCCTGGCCCAAGCGTCCGTCCGTGCCACAGATAGGACGGCTGCTGGAGTGGGGGCTTTGCGGAGGTCGGAAGAGGGAGGAGGCCGAGGTGAGGAGGGATGGAGGGAGGGATAGAGGGAGGGGTGGGAGGACGAGAAGGGATGATGAGGAGGGAACGATGGAAGGAGGGAAGAGAAAGAGAAGCTTCAGCGGAAACAAAACCATTCTGCACATACACCGATTCTTGCCAGGCCAATCCTGAGCCCAGGATCGGTGCATACGCCCTCATGCATTCGCCAGGAAGACATCTGCACCGATCCTGGGCATGTGCATCGTTACTTTCGCGCGAAGCTTGAAGTCTGGAGAAGGCGGGTAACAGAGGAAGCAAGTAGGATGAAGAAGGAGACGGGAGAGGACTCGGAGTGGAGCACAGGGAGGGCGAGGGGGAGGAGAGGGAGAGGGTGAGGAGAGGGAGAGCGAAAGAGAAAGGACCCGCGGGGCACGGCTGGTACGAGGCGGATTTGGCATCGAGCTTCGGCACGGAGCCAACGTCCACCAGCTCCAGCTCCACCTCGCGATGACGCAATATGTATACAGTCGGGGTGCATTGAGCAAGCCACGCGAGAGGACACTGGGGAAACCAAAAGGTACCGATACCGCTACTCCCCGGACCTCTCGTGGGGTGCGTTCTGACCAGAATTTCGAGGCGAATCCAGCGGTGGCGACGAGATCCTGCGGGGAGGCCCCCAAAAAGGGGAAAGCGGCCGAAGGGTAGAGGTATGGGTACATTTTCCACCTCTGAGACACATGACTCTTCCGAGGGCCTCATTGTCAAATGAACATAGAAGCATGGGTCGTGAGTCACAGGACACAAGGGCACCCTTGATTTGGCAAGGTCGACCTACTAATCAGGACACAAGGGTACCCTTGCTTTTGAGCAGGGACCGACCGTCCCGGCATTCCGATAGTCCTACCACGAAATTCTCTTATAACCCAAACATGTTCTCAGGAAAACAACATTCTCAGAGAACATAAACCCGATGTGATAAAACAAGACAGACTCCGCCAGAAATGTTCCAAGAACGTTTCGTGGAAGCCACAAAGAGTTCTTAGAACATTGTTTGGTAGGGCTATCGGCAAGCCAAGACACTTCGCCACTGCTTGATGCTTCGGCGGGGCCGACCTACTACTCCGCCTCGACCGCTGCGCCGGTCCTGGCCGCAGGCCAAACCCTGGGCCCCAGCGCGGGCGCGTTTGCGCCGCCCCCGCACGGCCCAGGGAGCGAGGAGGAGAGTCCAGGACCTCCTCCTCCTGCCCCTCCACCTCCTCCTCCCCATCCTCCTCCTCCTTCTCCTCCTCCTCCTCCTCCTTCTCCTCCTCCCCCTGTTCCTGCTTCTCCTCTTCCTCTTCCTGCACCCAGATCGGCCTGGCCATGGGGTGGCGTCGGCGTGCGCGGTGGCGATCGAAGGCGGAAGGCATCCGAGAGGACGCGAGACCCATCCGAGGTCAACGAGGCGGAGCGGACGAGCCAGAGTGAGAGGGCAGGAGAGCCACCCTCGTCAGTAGCACCACGGCAGGCGAAGGCCTCTCGTAAACGCGCCTCAGGGAGGAATCGAAGAGGGCAGGACCGTTTGGCCAACGCCCAGTGTTCCGCAGTAGCCGCCACTCCTGGGGGTCGGGGTGGTTCGCCCTTCCGTGACAGAGGGCACGCGGTGCGAGTGGCCAGGAACTGACACGACACAGGGGTGACCCTGGATGCTGCGGCCTGCGAGCGCTGCCAACGACGCGGGCCCCGGTTCCCCTCCGGCGCGCCATCGGAAAACGCCTCGAGCATTCCCCGCCCTCGGCACCCAGAAGATCTTAGGCCCATCCGTCGCCATTGTAGACAAGCGCGCTCCGCTACTCGCCAAGTGACTGCTCGCAAGTGGCCCAGATCCGCCGCGGGGGACTCACGATCCACCGCATTGGTGCAAACGTGTTGTTTGTTTGTTCGGACGCTTGCGAGTAGGCACTTTGCAAGTCGTGGAAGGCGCTCGGTGAAATGAACTTCGCGCGGTGGGGTCTCTCTCTAGAGGTCTCCTAGATGGGGTTGGAGAAGATGGGGTCGAAGGATCGCACCGCATCGCCGATACATCGGCGATGCATCGGCAATGCAGCGGCGACGCATCGTCGACGTGGGCGATGCATCGGCGACGCCGGCGTGAAGAAACTCGGGCTCCGCACCGCGCCGAATCTCCGATGCATCGGCGATGCGGCGCGATCCTCTGACCCCACCTACTCCGACCCCATCCAGGAAGCCCGGCGGCGAGCGAGGGGGGAAGTGAGAAGGAGAAGACCTTCTCAGAGGGCGGCGGGGCTTCTCAGAAGCGCCCGCGCCCCCTGAGAAATTGTCTGTCTTCGGGGAAGGCTCAAAGGACTCCTCAGACGGCTGGGGGACTTTCGAGCCGTCTGAGAAGGCCCTCCCCAGGATGCACAAGAACATCCCACAGACACGACGAACATCAGGGCACCCTCCCCGAACCGACCTCGATCTCATACCTCGGGCCGAGCGTGCTTTCGCTCAGAGTCAATCCTGGGATCCTTTCCGAACGCCATTCGCAACGGTTTTCCTACGCCGAGTGACTTCGCGTCTCGTGCCCCGCGACGCGCGACTGTCTGCGCGCGCTCGCGCTGACCCCCCCCTTGAGGGGCAACGATAAAGGGGGGGACTGGCAGAGGGGGGGATTCATCGACCTGGAATCGGCGACACATCGCCGATAGATCGGCGATAGGCCTTCGACAGTGAGCCCGCACCTTCCTGGGCAAGTTGGGGCTATCAGGCCCCCATCGGCGATGAATGGGCGCTTGGGGGTCGATGCATCCCCCCCCCTTATCGTTGCCCTCGACCCCTGGAGGAGGGCAGCCGCTCCGGCCCAGGCCGCGACGCGCGCTTATCTTCAGGTCGGGCATGTCCTCCTACAGGCGGCTGCTGGACGAAAAATCAAAAAAAAAAAAAAACACTTTAAAAAATAGTCCAACATAGTCAAAGATAGTAGAAGCATCGTACCTGGATTATTTTTCTGCCCATTTTTGAACCTGCCTCCTCCAGAGGGACAGGCCCGACTTGAGCTGATCTTCGTGCTCCGGGGGGGGGGGGTGGGACCCACGCTGCCCGAGCTGCGTCCGGCCATGGCCGCGAGGGCTCCCTCCCCTCCCAGGCCAGACGTCCAGCGCCACGACCTCTTGTCTCTAGTCGGGCCTGTCCCCCTACAGGGGGATTTTGGACGAAAAATAAAACAATACCCGAAAAATACCCCGACATGGTCAGAAAACAATGACAAACATCGTGCCCAGACTATTGTTTCACTATTCTTGAATTTTCCCCCTGTAGAGGGACACGCCCGACTTAACTCTTGTCCTGGCGCGGCACCAAGAACTCTCGACATACCCAGGACCGCCCCAAGACGGCCCCACGAGGGCCCCGAGAGGGCCCCGAGAGGGCACCGAGACGGCTCCAGAGTCCCCGGGAACCCAAGCGAGAGGCCCCCGAGAGGATCAGAAGGTTCCCCAGGAGAGCCCCGAGGGTCACTGGAGGTCCCCGAGAGGGCGCCGAGGGGGCCCCAAGACGGCCCGAGCCCCCCGAGAGATGGCCCAAGAGGGCCCCAGGACGGCCCTAGAGGACCCCAAGACGGCCCAAACCCAGAGGCTCCTTTTCGTTTATTTTAAACAACTGCAGTTTTTCGTTTTTCATCATGGCTTTCGTCTTTCATCATTGTTTTCGTCTTTCATCATGTGTTTCGTTTTTCATCATGGTATTTGTACATCATCAAAGTATCACAATGCATCTTATTCATCAACATGATTATATATCGAATTCGCCACTACGCTGGACCTCCCATGGGCGCACACTAGCAGGTGGCGACAGTTGCTCGGCTGTCACAGCGTCCCCTTTTTCAACTTCCTTCCCCCTCCTCATCCTTTCCGATCCCCCGAATCCCACTCTTCTCCCCTCCTCTCCTCCCCCTTCTCCTTTTCCAGTCGTTCTCCTCATCATCCCTCCTCTTCGTCCACCTCCTTCTCCACCCCCACGGCTCGTCGAGGTCCGAGCCTTTTAGGATGGCACCAAAGGGGCGGCGCTACAGCGATGTGGCGCAGCTGAAGAAGACGCTGTCCAAATACGTGGACCGCGTTGACTGGCTGCAGTACGGCACGAAGATCAAGAAGCCGTACAAGAAGGAGACGATCAAGGAGAAGAAGGCCCGAATCATAATTATGATGGATGTGGAGGAAAGAAGGAGGATAAGGGGATGATGAGGAGAAGGATCCAGGAGGAGGAGTAGGAGGAGGAGGAGGAGATGTTAGATCGATCAGGGTGAGGATGACGATGATGTTCGGAGGAGGAGGAGAAGGAGGAGGAGGAGAAGGAGGAGGAGAAGGAGGAGGAGGAGGAGGAGGAGAAGGAGTAGGAGGATTTTTCCCTCGGAGGCCCTCGGGGCAGAACTAAAAACAAAAACCCTGCCTACCCCGATCGACGGGAGGCAGCTGCGGCTTCTTCCCGCGCACGAATGCGGGCCGCCAAGGCCTCCATGCCAGGAGTTGACACGAGGCGCATTCGGGAGGCCGTCTGTCTACCACTTTGTGTGGCCGCAACCTCCATGACAAAACCAGCAGAGCGACGGCAGGGGTCCGTGACACGATTATCATTGTAAAAGTGCGGGTGAAGCCCCTGCTTGATACGGGATAAGGTCTGGGATCTCGTGCCCAGCTTTCCACAGCACCGCGTCGCCAGCAAAACACACCTCCTCGAAGAGTAGGCCCCACACCTATAGCAAAACACTAAAGGTTCCTGGGCTTCATTGTCAATCATTGAGCACGCTAAGAGGTGCCCCCGTTCTTCGGCATCCTTAAGATTCCGAAAAGCAGTGGGGACCCCCTTGCACCCTACCATCGATCTGTCCTGGTCCCAGGTGATCGAGAAACACTTGGTGCACCTCCATGCTACTCCCGAGTCGATCTCGCACCAGTCGTGCCAACTCGGATCTCTGACAGCCGCCGTGGTCCGAGGGCCTCTGGCAGAGCGACGGAACTCCATCTTGGGGTAGCAGGAGAGCACTGCGTCAAACATTCGAACTAAAACTTTCACACGCTTCACGCACACGTCCAGCGCCTCGAGGTCTTCAGACGGGGCCCCTGGGTGAAGTGTCAGTGCATGCTTGGCTAGCCTATCAGCATCAGCATTCCCCAGTGCAATGCGACGCTCCAAAATCGGTAAAGCCAAAATGACCTCCTCAGACCTATGGGCGGGGGTGTAGGACGCAGGCCCCAGACAGCCCTGAGGGTCAGATTCTATAGCAAGCCTCCTAAGGCCAGCAAGCATCTGCTTAGGGCAAAGCTGTTCCCTACGAGTCGCATTGTGCAACTTGACGGCCCCAGAGCAGTCACTGTGAGGTGTGACAGGGTGATCAATGACACAGCTGAGCATGGCTATGCCAAGATGCTCCGCCGACTGCGGGGTCTGAAAAAGGGTGGGCCATACTGTGCCCATCATCCTTGCCTGAATCTTGTATTCGGGGCCAGGTGCTAAGAACACAG